ATAAATTCATTAAGGATCATATACTGTAAGATAGTATATTTTTGTGGGGATTTGTCTTCCTTCATTTTGTGGGTACGTGTAATATACCAATTTATAAAAACAAATCATAGTTTTGCATTGCAAAGTGAAACTACTTAAAGATGGGAGAAAGAGCTTGCATTTTCAAGATAAAACACTTATCTGAATTTGACCTGTTAATAGTAAGATAATTTGATATGGAAATTGCTTGCTAGCAACATTCAGATTGATTGCCAGTTTATTATGTAAAATGTGGGGGTCAGCGTGGTTTGTAGGTAATGTTAAAGATGGCCTCTGCCATTTGGCAGGCAGAATATTATCCGAAGGCTCAGTCAGTAGAGTCATGGATTATGCTAGAAACTGGGATTTGATTTCTGGTGAAGGCATTCTGTAGTAATGTGTATTTTCCCAGTTCTTTCACAATGATATACTTGTAATCTTACAACAGAACATCTGACTATGTTACTTGTTACAAATATATAGTTCAAACTACAACAATGTCACTTATTCATTGTGCGAACGATTATATGTTCCTTGCTTTGTAAGGAAATCTTGTACAAATATTTTTAATATTTCTTTTTAAAATGAATTCTTAAAATTTAAAACACTCAAATTACTCATTATGGCATTGAGGCTAAATAGTGCAGAGATTATTAATGAAAGAAAAACGAATAACTTTTGAAAACCCACATGGTCACGGAGGTAATATTATACCAAATTACATTGTTAGATCAGGCATGCAAACCGGGGAGACATACTGGTGTTTTCCATCTGTCTTGATCATTCTTAACAGTGCTGCCAACTTGCTCAGCCTTATACATGAAACTGGGTATATATGTGATGACCAGCTATTTAAATCTTGTATACATTATGTTTACCTTATATTTTACAATTCAATGATATCTTGGGAGTTATGTCCCTTTGGTATTATATTCAGCATGACAGGCATTGATTCTCAGACCACAACAAGTTGCACATGATCAAAACTTCAGGTGGTTATGCTTTTGCTGTTTTAATTATGGTTGTTTGGTAATTGGGACTTGTTCGTGTGGAAATATCAGTAATTACTGATCTCATTCTTCGCCTTGACATTTCTGTACAAATTGTACAAATACTTCAGCCATTGATCATGTCCTTTATTATTGTTATTCTTGAGTCACTAAGAGGGAAGTTGGCATCAGACAGGCATCTTTAGACTTCACACGCTATTCAAGTATTGAATAGCGTAACACTCCAAAAAAACCTCTGTTTCTTGTTCCTAAAGTGACTTTTACATCTCTGTTCTCTGTCTCTCGGTTTCCAGATTCACAAGTTCAATACTTCTTAACCATTTCTATTGATGCATGTCACAAATCTACGAGGCATGGAACTGATCAAACAATACCAAAATGGTTGGGGATTTTCTTAACTTATGATGGACAGCTTTTGACATCATCCTTCCAATGTCTCTAAATACCAGTGCACAGGAGATATTTTACAGGAGACAGTGAGGAGATATTATTGAACTTCATGATAATCCATGAAAGATTTAGCCATGGAGTAGTTGTTTTATTTCAAGTTATGGGAAGATATTTAAAAATCAATTAGAAAACAATAGATATTCATTGAAAATGTATCCTTGGCAGTGTACAGAAATGAAGAAACGAAGTAGTTTTCTACTAAGATCCACAAAAATGTGGAATAATGTGTAGAAAATGTTGTGTGTGCAAATAATTAGAACTGTTTCAAAAATGGTCTGAACAATAGTAATATGTAAACTTACTATATAACTTCAAAGCTAGTTTATGTACTTGTGTAGTGTCATTTCAATTAACTTTCATATTTAGAACAAGTTACTGTATTTTGAGTCTTGTGTAGAGGATATACTTTTTCTTATACCAGAAGTCTGTCAATATTGAACATCATCAAATACATTGATTTACAAATTCACCCTCCACCAGCCAATTTACAAACTGTTTTCTCATTACAATTAACCTTCATATTTATAACAAGTTACTTTTTTAATCTTGTGTAGAGGATACTGAATGTTGTACCTGAAATCTATTATCAATAAACATCGTTAGATACATTGAATTATAATTTTGTCTTCTACCAGCAACTATGTTAAGAATTTATCTTTAACACGATCAAGATAATTTTGTACAAAATGTAATTTTGATGATTTGTGGGTATTCTTTATCGAAATCGATAAAATTGTTGAAATTAGTAGGAGTAGATTTATTGAGTACCCTATAGCTGTTTATTTTCGCTTATTGAAATTTTCATGATATGCTTTTAAAATAATCCAATTACATGTATATTTGAACGAATTCAAAATTTTGCCATCAGGACATCAAATACACACATCACATTATTTAATGCATTCAATTTTTGCAATCATATTGATGTACAGGAAAATAGCAAAAATATTGTCCCTGTGAAAATAACCAACTCTATGTTATATCAACAGTCAGAAAAAAAAAGAAAAAAAGGAACCACAAAAATTAAGCCCCATAAAAAAAAAAAATGGTTTTACAGTATCCTGCATTAATGGTATTGTTATTTCCCCGCAAGAAGCACTGACTGGTGATATGCTTACCAATATTTGTGACACAGTCTTTGGAACTAGCTGTTACTACCAATCTGATTGGTCAGAATATTCAAACAGATTATCAGTGACCTCTAGTGGCAGTTGTATACTATATAAACAATGCCACCATCTTTCAAAACATTGTCTTGCATGCATACTCGCGCTATCAGACAATCAAGTATTATACTATGAACTTCCCAAAATTGACAGACAAGGTGTGCATGAAAATATTAGATTGAGATTTGCGTCAATCTCAAACTAGCATTCTCTGGTTTAGAATGAGTGAGAAGTTTTTCATAATTTTTTGCAAGCCTTTGCAGGAATTAAAATTTCAAGATAAGTTTTGCAATATCTCATATGAAATTAAAACAATAAGATTTTTTCCTTACACATGACTCTGAAAAGTTGTTTTGATAGAATTCAAAGTAAAAAGTGGAGGACAAAATTGAACACAAAGCTATCTGTGCCATTTTCAATTCATGATGTGTCTGCAAAATGACATCACAATCGATTTCTGACTGCCAAAGTCAATGAAAAATGCTCCAGGGTATATACTCAAATGATATGTACAAAAACATTCCATGGGAGAATTCGCTGAATAACAGGCGGTTTATGTGATTAAAATTTGTATAACCATCCCTTCACAACATTCACATGGATGTCATGTAACACTGATCATCACTTGAGGAATTGAGGAATTTTTTGTAAAGCTTTGCGCACTAAAAGAAAATCATGTATCTCGTATCATGTTCAAATTTCTGGGTTTAAGGGTAAAGGTCAGGGTCACCATTTCTAGAATTCTTGTCAGCACGTCATTGGCTTCATTTTTCAAAGATGTTTTGAACAGGCTTCACACACTTTAAAAGGACTTTAATATTTCAAACAAGTTTGAGTTTCAAGGTTTGAGGAACAAAGATCTCTGTTATTATTTTTGTAAAATTTTTGTCAGTGGATAAAGGGTCATAATATCTCAAGCATGATCAATTTTTTAGGTTGTAGGGTAAAGGTCAAGGTGATTATTCTATTTTCATAAAATTCTTGTCAGTGCTTTAGCATTTCATTTCATTTATGGTCAAGGTTACTGTCACTATTTTTGTGAAATTCCTGTCAGTATTATAGCAGGTTCATTTCTTGAAGGATTTTGATCAAGCTTTACACACTTATAAAGGAACATTGTATCTCAAACATGATTTGAGTTTCTTGGTTGTAGAGTCCAGGTCATATTCACTGTTACTATTTTTGTAAAATTCTTGTCAGTTCTTTAGCGACTTCATTTCTTGAGGGATTTTATCAGACTTCATAAACTAATAAAGGACCATTAATATATGTCAGATAAGTTTTAATTTCAGTGTTCTATAGTTATGGTAAAGGTCATTGTTGATTTTTTTCACGGCACCATTCATTGTGACATCAGAGACATAATGTAGGAATATCTCCAACTGAGATTTTGTATCAGTATAATAAAATACTGTTATAAGTAATGTTTTAACCAATGTTTGCAAAAGTATCTAAGTTATGTGATGAACAGAATCTGACATCTGTTCCCATTTCAAACGAGATTTATGAAACTTGTTAAGAATATGTATTTTACCTTGAATCAGAGGCTATGAAAAGTTGTTTCTTAAATCTCGTATGAAATGTTAACTTATGTATGATCATCTATGTCTGTAATACTTTCATGTTTCAATGCATCTTGTTGCAAGAATGCACATGAATGATTTGGAATGCCTGTAATGAGATGCGAAGTAGAACTGAGATACTTCAAAAATAGACACAAACACAAATCGGTCAAAGATGTTTTCCTTTGAAATGTTTAAATGTTTATAGTTATGTTAAATTTTTAGAGAGTTATGTTAAATGTTTAGAGAGTATGTTAAATGTTTAGAGAGTATGTTAAATGTTTAGAGAGTATCCATTCAACTAACATGAAACAACACAAGTTACCACTGATATTTGGCTGTTACATTTGCCTCCCTTACCAATCTGTAAAGTAAAAGCATTTAATTTTACTTTCAATATCATCAAGTTAGTGATGCACTTGATGTTTATTTTTACTATTTTGACAGAGTATAGATACACATTGTTGCTTTATGTTAATTTTTTTTTGCTAATAATTGTTTTTTTTATTGTGATAACTGTGTTTGAATTTCGGATTTCTGCCTTTGGTATTATAATCACTATTTTCTTTAAAACAAAACAAGAACACCAGACTGATTACAAAAACCCTCAGAGGTCAAACAAAAGACCAAGTGATTTGGTGGGTGTGCTATTTTTGTTGTATGTCTGATCTATTTCTATACAACGGTATGGATTTTTTTCTATTCAAGATTTGTGCTTTGGTATGGTACTAATTGAGATATATGTGTTGATTTCCTAAATAACAATTCAATGTATTCAATTGTGTTTGTTCTAGGAAAGGAGATTACTACAGATATTTGGCGGAGATCACAACAGATAAAGAACGAGAGAAAGTTGTGCAAGAAGCTCAAGAGTCCTACCAGGAATCCACCATTATTAGTAATACGTTATGCTCGACCCATCCAATCAGATTAGGGCTAGCACTCAATTTCTCCGTTTTCTACTACGAGATACTCGACGAGCAAGAGAAAGCCTGTGAGGTTGCCAAAAAAGCCTTTGATGGGGCTATCAAAGAACTGGATACCCTCCAGGAGGAAAATTTTAAAGATTCTACCCTGATCATGCAACTGCTTAGGGACAATCTCACTCTGTGGACATCAGATGCCAAAATGGATGATGATGATGGTGAAGGTGAGAATTGCAAGCTTAGATTAAATGAAAGAAATTGATTCTAAAACATTGCTAGACTAGATCAAATAATATAGACTTGGTTACAGGTTATATTAAGACTTGTATTGTAGATTATTTAGATAAAATTTTAAAAACAAAATTAAACATTAATTAATAAAGATTTGAAACTCTGGTACCTCTGAATTAATGGTGTAATGAAAAATTGCTTGGAGAGTTAATAACATAATGAAACCAGATAATTAAAAAAAATCTCATATTTAAAGAATTATTCTTTCTCTTCGTGCATCGAAGTGTACTTGCATAGGTGTGGCTGCATATCTTACCGGGTTCTTATAATAGTTCCAAGAATAAATGATTAAACTGACATTTTTATTATATATTTGCAAGTAAATATATCAATTAACATAACATCACTTACACGTCTCTTCACATTTGAATATGGTTTATAATCAAATTAAGGGATGTAAACAAATATAACACATTTACGACTGGTATAAGTAATTACAAGACTGTATACTCTTGCACAAGCTTAATTATCATGGGTGGATATTGATCGTTACACACATTTGGGTTAATAAGTTGCATCTAGAGACAGCAATTCAAGTTTAGAAATTCAAAGCTATTGAAAGCTCAATGTAGTATATATATATTTTTGGTATTTATTTGTGCCAAAAGCTATAGGTCTCTGCTTTTGTGAGAGAACCTTTGAAACACCTTGTGATAAGAACATAAGAAGTAAACAAAACTGCAATTTTACATTTGTTTACCAAATAAGGTATGCTTAGTTTATGGTATTTAGGCATCATTAAATAGGGCTAAATATGAATTTTAGTGTCTTTCCTATAATAAATTAATAGTTTCAAAGACATATTAGATGGTATGTTATCATTTTGAAACATAATCTTCCAAAATTTTTTAATCCTGATCATTCATTTTTATTTCTACAACACTGCATGGATAACAAAGGGACTTACACAAGTTTAGTTTAAGCATTATCAGTGAAGTTTAAAGAAACAGGCAATGGATAGAGGTTATCAAAATCTTTATGTCTTCATGTAGGAAGAATTTTGTAAATATTTTCCTTTTTGTTCACAGGATTGCAGCAGCAAGAACAAGTAGAAGTAGAAGACATTGAATAAGAAGAATGATTGCCTGCAAAACTATGATAAAGTTTATCATGGGACCACCTATCATCATCTCCATTCTCGTGATAGAACAGTATCTGCCTGGCAAACAACAGTTTTAGATATACTGGAATCACAGATCTGTAATCGTGCTTTGTTTCCTTGTCTTTGAAAAAAATAAAGTCAACATTGCTTTTTTTTTTTTTATATATATATATATATATATACTGATTCTCCTTTTTTTATAAAAAAGAATGAAACAAAAACTTCATAAACATGCTATATATTTGAAATTTTGCCAAGCAATATGAGAGTTTGTTATTTTTTAGACATTTTGATTGATGCTATATCTGGGTGTTTTTTTGTTTGAATACAATTGAAAATGTGATTGGCCTTTTTCTTCACCATTTCCAAAGAGACTTATTATTTTGTTGTAATGCAAAGATGTTTAAAGTAAAATGCTGGTGTAATATCTTCATCTTTATGAGGCTGAGTAATGGAGACATGTCTCAAATGAATTTCTGTGGAAAATTTCTCTCAAAAGGTGCAAATACAAGAAAAACTGATCTGATAATTGACAAGACATATTGTGATAATGTGTATACATTTATTATTGGTTTTTTTTCAATAATAAAAAAAGTAATTCGGCTCTAAATGGATTACTTTGAAGTAACTGGTAGTGTGTAAGGCGATCATTTATGACATGACAAATGATTCTTGAAAAAAGTAAGATTTATATGTAAGAAATATTTATATAAAACTTTTTTTAATCTAAGTTGGTTGTTCTGTTAATTAATTGTTGTGAGTCAGTATTTGTAGGTTTCAGTTTCAAAATGTTTATAGAATATGTTTTAAAACTCTGTTTTGTTAATGATGAATGTATTTACATAAATAATGTCTATAGAAAAATATAAATAACATCAATTTGATCTAACCCAACACTAATACAGAATTTCATAGTCCATTCTAAACTCTTTGATTCACATATTTAACTGAAAGCCACTACAATCTGGCAAGTAGCTACTGGTTGCAATTTAGTACAAGTTAATGGCCACAGTTTGGTACAGGTAACTTGCCACAATGAAGTACAGGTTACTGACCACAATTTGGTACAGGTAACTGGCCACAATGAAGTACAGGTTACTGGCCACAATTTAGTACAAGTTACTGGCCACAGTTTGGTACAGGTAACTGGCAACAATGAAGTACATGTTACTGGTCACAATTTGGTACAGGTTACTGGTCACAATTTGGTACAGGTAACTGGCCACAATGAAGTACAGGTTACTGGCCACAATGAAGTACAGGTAACTTGCCACAATTTGGTACAGGTTACTAGCCACAAATTTGGTACAGGTTACTGGCCACAATGAAGTACAGGTAACTTGCCACAATTTGGTACAGGTTACTAGCCACAAATTTGGTACAGGTTACTGGCCACAATTTGGTACAGGTTACTAGCCACAATTTGGTACAGGTTACTGGCCACAATGAAGTACATGTTACTGGCCACAATTTGGTACAGGTTACTGGCCACAATTTGGTACAGGTTACTGGCCACAATTTGGTACTGGTTACTGGCCACAATGAAGTACAGGTTACTGGCCACAATTTGGTACTGGTTACTAGCCACAATTTGGTACCGGTTACTGGCCTCAATGAAGTACAGGTTACTGGCCACAATGAAGTACAGGTTACTAGCCACAATTTGGTACTGGTTACTAGCCACAATGAAGTACAGGTTACTGGCCACAATTTGGTACAGGTTACTGGCCACAATTTAATACAGGTTACTAGCCACAATTTGGTACTGGTTACTGGCCACAATGAAGTACAGGTTACTAGCCACAATTTGGTACTGGTTACTAGCCACAATTTGGTACTGGTTATTAGCCACAATGAAGTATAGGTTAATGGCCACAATTTGGTACTGTACTGGTTACTAGCAACAATTCGGTACTGGTTACTAGCCACAATTTGGTACTGGTTACTGGCCTCAATGAAGTACAGGTAACTGGCCTCAATGAAGTACAGGTTACTGGCCACAATGAAGTACAGGTTACTAGCCACAATGAAGTACAGGTTACTGGCCACAATTTTGTACTGGTTACTAGCCACAATTTGGTACTGGTTACTGGCCTCAATGAAGTACAGGTTACTAGCCACAATTTGGTACTGGTTACTAGCCACAATGAAGTACAGGTTACTGGCCACAATTTGGTACTGGTTACTAGCCACAATGAAGTACAGGTTACTGGCCACAATTTGGTACAGGTTACTGGCCACAATTTAATACAGGTTACTAGCCACAATTTGGTACTGGTTACTGGCCACAATGAAGTACAGGTTAATGGCCACAGTTTGGTACTGGTTACTAGCCACAATTTGGTACTGGTTACTGGCCTCGATGAAGTACAGGTAACTGGCCTCAATGAAGTACAGGTAACTGGCCACAATGAAGTACAGGTTACTGGCCACAATTTAATACAGGTTACTGGCCACAATGAAGTACAGGTTACTGGCCTCAATGAAGTGCATGTTACTGGCCACAATGAAGTACAGGTAACTGGCCACAATGAAGTACAGGTAACTGGCCATAATTAGTACAGGCTACTGCTTTCAATTAGGTACAAGTTTATTGTTTGTTGGGGTTTTGATCCCTTGAGAAGCGAAAAATTGAATATTCAACATATTGCCTCAACACTAAGGCAGAAAATGTCACAATCTCCAAACATTGCCAGACCTCCAAAATTGAAAATATTTAAAAGTGTTAGAAAATTTGCTTTGATATGTTTGAACTTTTATACCAGAAAAGAAATAAGATACAATGTATCTTTTTGATGCAACTACACCTCCCCCCACCCCCACCCCCACCCCCACCCCCACTGAATTTCAAACAAAAAGCATGACATACACAATGTATTTAAGTAAACACTGTTGAGTGTTACACAACTTTTTCCATTATTGTATGACTGAATCATGTTATTGTTGTTGTATTCTTGTTGTTCTGTTCTGATATTTACATATACTTTTATTCTAAAAGTCTGATAGATCCAGTAGAAAATCTAGGTATTTACTTAAAGAGAAAGGGATGCTTGATACCTATTTTTCATGATGGCCTAATTGCAATGGGCCTGATGATAAGTTTATCAGTAAGAAGACAACAAATATCAAACAAACAAAATATGTTTCAGAATTTAGATTTATTACAAGTAGCCTTAGTAAGTTTGAAGAGTAAGAAAGTTTTCTAATTCTAGAGATGATTTAAAACATTTTGACTTTGGTTTGAATTTTTATGGTTAATCTTGTTCAATGCCAGGATAAGGAATCAGGAAAATCCAATTTATTTCTTGCTGTGAAATATTTTGTATCTTATTAAAATTATGCTAAATAGTCATGAATGGTTTTGAATATTATTTTTTATTCTAGGATTCTATGAATGATATTCTTTTGTCACCAATAAACAAAAAAATGAAAAATTGATTGTGCTACAGATACAGAAAGAATTCATCAGAATATTGCAGACCCTGTTGCTGTGTGTTAACTCAAACAACATAGGAAATATAAAGATAGTGACATCATAATTTTTTATTATTTTTTTTTCTTTACTTTATTTGGTTACTTTAGAACACAAATTTATTTCCATAAGGAAAATACTTTCAATTGCTATTTTCATAGCACATCATACTCTTTGTGTAGATCACAGATTTGCTTTTTGTATACCTGCATAAAATTCTCCCATCCTTCTCCAAGTTGAAGACATTTCTCTTATGTTTGGATTTTTTATTTTTTTTGTTTTTCGTTTTTGTTCAATACAAAATGCAGAAAAAAATCTTTGAAATAACATTAATACAAATCAGCAATCACAAAATTTCCTTCAAGAAAGCCACTTAGCTAGAGTAATATATAAGATTAAGATGGAGATTTTCAAACATTGATATAGGTCAATTTAAAATTATTTCATAAGTTTATCAGACTGTTAAATCTTTTTATCAGAAAGAAGTTTTAGGAAGGCATGTTAACTTTATAGACATAGACACATGCATTTATGATATAAAGAAGAAAACATGCAAATTTTGCAGTTTGGAATTTTTTTTTTTTTTTTTTTTTTGCCTCGTTTTTAAAGGGTTGCTAAAAATCACAAAAATCAGATGCGCACAATAAATTCTTGATACATGATGTTTTGATTGTTCATCAATACATGTATCACTAGGGAAATCATCATCGAATGAATACAAACATTCTAAAACCTAAAGTCGTTTCTGGTATTTGGTCCAAAAACAGTAATATAAAAACCTTTTAATTCTTTTATTGTTTTTGTTTAAATAACTGATATGTTTTGACATGAACAATGCTTTGGTAACAGAAAACCTTTACATGTAAGGCTGATGACAATAAAAATGTGGTCGGTATTATTCTAGATTTGGTATTTCTTTTGAAGGAATAAACAAATAACTGAGATGATTTTGCTGTCATTGTAATTGGAACGATTTATCAAGTGTGCTTTTGTTTACCCTTTCCTCTATCTATAAAGGATAAATATCATCAGTTTTTTAATATAAGATTTTCGCACATACATACATGAACTAATTATCTTTCCATATTTAAAATGAATTATTTTCTGTGAATTGACTATACTAGCTAGACTGTCCGAGGTCTGTACTGCTTTGGATATTAAACATCTTACAAAATTAATCTGATGGATTTTGTTTTTATCAATATGATACACCATTCAGTTACTTATTTTACCCTCTGTTTGTTCATTTGTGTGTGTGCTGTGTTTATTGCTCCAGCCTGGTGGCTACTTCACTGAACAATATACAATGTATGGCAGCCTATCACATGCCATCCAGAGCTGATAGGATGGAGTGTCTTGCCCAGGGACACAACTCTGTCAGCACAGACCAGTCCATTTCCTCAGCTTCTTTAGAAAAAACAAACGTCTATGGATAGACAGCTTCAAAACGTGTACTTCAGAACATCACCTTAAGCTTTAACCAACTTAGAAATTAACTGACCTTCTTTAGCTAATTTAGTTACAATGTATTTGAAACATGTGAACCAAAAGTAAGCATCCTATAGTTATTATACACATTTCTGACTGGCTTTAGAATTTGTTTTTCAAACTGATTCGGTGAATGACAAGGTTAGTACCTTTAAAAAAACCATAACAATATGTACACATCTTAATCACTCTTGTTGGCCTGGGTGGAAGTGTATAGGGGATCTGGAGGTAATAGGAAACTGGAGTACGTAGGGAAAGCTCACATGGTCAGGCAGGTGACCTGTTACCTTTTCATGTCCAAACTGAATATTGCTTTGTTGAAAGGCCAATGTGTTAATGCTAGGTCAACTATGTTAGTAACATGTTAACACTGTGTCAAACATGTTAGTAATATGTTAATGCTTTGTCAACCATGTTAGTAATATGTTAACACAGTGTCAACCATGTTAGTAAAATGTTAACACTGTGCCAACCATGTTAGTAATGTGTTAACACTGTGCCAACCATGTTAGTAATATGTTAACACTATGTCAACCATGTTAGTTACATGTTAACACTGTGTCAAACATGTTAGTAATGTGTTAACACTGTGTCAACCATGTTAGTTACATGTTAACACTGTGTCAACCATGTAAGTAATGTGTTAACACTGTGTCAACCATGTTAGTTACATGTTAACACTGTGTCAAACATGTTAGTAATGTGTTAACACTGTGTCAAACATGTTAGTAATGTGTTAACACTGTGCCAACCATGTTAGTAATGTGTTAACACTGTGTCAACCATGGCCATTTATTTAATTACCTAAACAGTCTCTGCTCAATATCTCAATTAGCTTCGACAGATAAACTTCAAACAAGTTATTTATTGAGTAACGGCCTTTGTAAAATTGATGTAAAAACAAGTGGAGTATTTTCAGGAATAAATGACTCTCAGTTGTTTACTCTGGTTTCCTCCACAATGAGACAACTGGCACGGTCTGTAGATGAATGAACATGAAGCATCACTTTTTTGTTGCAAAATGCTCTTTCAACCTATGACGGATGTATCATGTAATGCCTCACAAAACTCTTTTGTTAAAGTGGTTCAGTATTCACTCCACAGGTGTATGTTACTGTGGTTCAATCTCCACTCCACAGGTGTATGTTACTTTGGTTCAATCTCCACTCCACAGGTGTATGATACTGTGGTTCAATCTCCTCTCCACAGATGTATGATACTGTGGTTCAATCTCCACTCCACAGGTGTATGTTACTGTGGTTCAATCTCCACTCCACAGGTGTATGTTACTGTGGTTCAATCTCCACTCCACAGGTGTATGTTACTGTGGTTCAATCTCCACTCCACAGGTGTATGTTGCTGTGGTTCAATCTCCACTCCACAGGTGTATGTTACTGTGGTTCAATCTCCACTCCACAGGTGTATGTTACTGTGGTTCAATCTCCACTCCACAGGTGTATGTTACTGTGGTTCAATCTCCACTCCAAAGGTTTATGTTACACTGGTCCATATTTTGTTGGGTTTTGTTGGGTTTTTTTGCATTGTTTTATTTTGCACTTGATTTATTGAACTGGTCAATTTTCACTGAAACTAATACCACTACTCTCTTAATCATTTAGGTATAAGGTAATTGATAGGAGAAAATTTGTATAGTACTAAAGTGATAATGAATTCCTTTTTCCAATTATCCAGCTTTGCTCAACAAACTAACATTGTGCTTGTCCAGCAATAAGTCCATATATGATGTAAAGCCCACCCATGTATATTACAGTAAGCAGACTAAGGAATAATCCTGGAGAGTGGTATAACATTAGTTCCCCTTCCCCTTCACTTTTCTATTTTACATAGCATGACCCATGGGTTGCTTGACAGCATTAATACTATCTGCACAAGGTAATTGATTGTTGCTGCTGACTTCTCCAGCCAAGCAATAGAAGACATATACAATTATACACCATAATATTATACTGTATTTTATAGATAAACAGCAAAACTATTTCATACAAGATTCAAATATGGAAAAAAAACTTGAAGAAGCTGACAATGTTTGTAACAGCTACCATGGAAACCAGAATTCTCACTATGCATCATCCTCGATACTCCATGAGTTATGATTGCTTTTGCTCTCTGCACCCAGGAAGTGGTCATGAAAAATTGAAGGCACAAGCTAAGTAACTTGACTTGATTCAGTAGAAAAAAACTGATCAATCACAGGCTGATATGCTCCTTTTGAAGACTACAAAAGAGCGACACCCAACTTCAAAACGATTACAATATACTGTTATGCGACTTCGAGATTCATTTGATGTAATATCAAACGATCAAACTAGACTTTTCATCTGTCCACAAGGTGTCACACATGGAACCTTCAATTTTTTTTTCAAGTTCTAGGAGTGAAGAGAGGGAAAGTGATTGTTATGCCTTTAGTATTGCGGATGGAAATTCTGGTTTCCATAGTAGCTCATAACAAAATTTGTGCCAACATCTAGTCGCATATCTAGCATAATTTTGGATAGACTATGACATATAAATCATAATGCCATGACTTTTAATATGTTTTTATCTGTTAATCAACCCAGAGGCAAAAGGTCATGATATTGGGCCTGTAGCATGCTTGGATAAGGGACATTTCAAGTATGTTGAAAGGAATGAACTTGACCTACTTCCAAGGTCACTTGTGCCTACTTTTATCAAACAACTTCTTCTAAACAGCCTTGAGTACAGATATTGCACTTGAAGCAGACTGGAATGAAGGTCTACAAATTTGTTTAAATTAATGACTTTGACACTTTTCAATGTCTTGAAATCTTCACACAATTTCTTCTCATACCCATATAGCCCAGGGTTCATATATATGACCAATATCGTGCTGGAATGAAGGGCTATCAAGTTGGCTTAAATGAATGACTTGACACACTTTAAAGGTCACACGGATCATAAAACATCAAACTTCTTCTGTTCTGTAACTAATAGGGCCTGGCTCATGGTATTTATGGCATAGAAATTGACTTAACTGACAAAGTCTTCTGTTTTGACTGCAGGACATTCAGAGCCATTGAGCCCTTTGTTCAATACATCTGTTTAAGAATTTCCTCTGGAATTGATTTAAATTAGACTGACACCAGAGACTCAAGGGGCAGGGCCAAAAGAGGTCAAATTAACAGAAAGCTAATGCTTGACAGCTTTCTTCTTTAAGATCCATAGATGCAAGAATCAAACGTTCTTTAGTTCTTAATTAGTATACTTGATGTTTGACAGGGCAGATATATTTGTTTGGAATTCCTCACAACAATTGATGGTTTGGTTTATTGCCTCATTTACAGCTATGGTAATTTTGAGATGGGGTCTCCTTGTAGGAGCTGAAGGATACCACAATGAACAACTTATGAAAGGCTTGTCACATGTCAGCAAGAGCACCTGGGTTAAAATGATTAGCCCAGGGACACAACCATGACAGTACAGGCCAGATTGTATCTCATCAGCCTTAGAAATGCAAACGGCCATAGACATGGAGGATTGATCCTCATAATTCAACTGAGATTATGTATAGGACAATGCTCTACCAACAAATGCAGCCCTACTACAACAAAAGCAAAAGTTTTTTAGTGAACTCAAGGGGCCTTAAAGACCCTCTTGTTATTTTTATCGAGAAAAGCCTGTACTCTGATACATTGTTGATTTTTTTAATTCTTTCTTCCACAGACAGGGAGACTACTACCGATATCTTGCTGAATTTACAAAAGGAAATGAACGACAACAAGTTGCTGAAAAAAGCTTGGTTGCATACAAATCAGCATCTGAATGTGCAAAGGTTCTCGTAGCTACACATCCAATCAAACTCGGCCTGGCCCTCAACTTCTCTGTCTTCTACTTTGAGATCTTGCAGTCGGTAGAGCGAGCCTGCGAAGTTGCAAAGGAGGCCTTTGACGAGGCCATTCAACAGCTTGATGACCTGTCTGACGACAGATACAAGGATTCTACATTAATCATGCAGCTTTTGAGAGACAACTTGACTTTATGGACAACAGATATGCCTAACCAAGAAGGTAATATCACTTTACACTTAATATCATCTTTAAGGGAGGGATGGAGCCCTCAAAAGGAGATAGTGTAAATTCTTTTAAGTCCTTCTGGGGGGGGGGGGTTGCAATATGGGAAAATAGAGCAAATTTAAAAAAAAAAAAATCAAAGGACTCCCTGTAAAGGGGACATCAGTTTTGGAAAATAGGGGGAGGGGATGGGGAAGGGGAGGAGCAGGGCCCAGTTGGGAAAATAGAGCAAATTAAAAAAAAAAAAAGATTATCTGAATCATTCATAAGTAAAGGGGACATCAGTTTTGAATAAATTAGGGGTCTGAACTCCATGGGGAAAGAGGAGCAGGGCCCAGTTGGGGAAATAGATATCTTTTAAATGCTTTTCATTATATTTAGATGAAGCACTTTTTAAACCAGGTGAGTGATACAGGCTCTGTGAGTCTTTCAGGTATAAACAGAGACATTGGGCTGAATTTGTTTTATAAGAGAGTATTATATTTTGTTTTCAATTGATTGTTTTTGTATAAGAGAGTTAAACCTTATATTTTGTTTTCAATTGATTGCTGAATTTTGTATAAGAGAGTTAAACCTTATATTTTGTTTTTAATTGATTGTTTTTATTTGATTTGTAATCTTTGCTTAGTTATGTTCCTACA